GGGGGGGGAGTTTGTCATGTCTGTTTGTAGGCTGTGACATTAACACCCCGAGATGATTAGCTCACAAACTCATCCGTCTCCTGCATTTATCAGTGAGCAAGCTTACTATATGAGCAAGGACTGAATGTGGACTTTAATGATGGAACAAGTGAGGACGTGTTTGTGTGTGGAGGTAAACATTTGATTTTGAGAATACACCATCTAAATCATTACTCTTCCACTCTTTCCTCTCGATGCTCTTTGCCAAACCTCTCTCCTCATTATTAGATGAGTTTCTTATCTCCGAGTTATCCTCTGTGCAGGAAATCTCTCCCAAGCACTCTCTGTAGGCCTCATGTCTGTATATCTTTGTGTTTCCTCCCTGGAGACTCTCTGACGCCTCCGTCACTCTCACAAGCTGGCATTAAGCCTGAGGGCTTCTGCTATGAACGCAAGCATCACCTCTTTGCTAACATCCTCTGAAGTTTATTTATCTTCATTTACGCTTGTCATAGGAGACTTTGTCTACGGGGCACAAAGGGCAGAATCTAAACACACATAAAAACACACACATTCAGTCTTCCCACTATGTGATGTACTGCGGTGTGTATCTCCCCTTGAAAACAGCCTGCTCAGCAGCGTTCACACCCTGCACTCCATTGATTCACAGCTTCATTTCGCTTCGGGTCTGCTGTTGATTTTGGCTCTGCCTTTCCAAACTGTAAGTGCAGGGCAGTATGAATTCTCTACTCACTGTAACCCCTATCTGCAGGGGTGTAGTGCTCTTTTTACAAGTGCAAAATTAGGGACTAGATCTATGGATACATCTCTAACCAACACCCATGTGAAACAGAACTGTAAACAGATTTACTTTTTCTTTATGCATATTTTACAAATCACTCCCCTTTTAAACTGTATTTTTGTTTTACTGTCCGAATTGGAATTATTTCATACCTGTTATTCTCTATAACTATAACGATCATATAAAGGTGTGCCTTGGAAACACTTGTTTACATAAATGATGACCAAACCATTTGAGACCCACTGAGATAACTTAATCTAAAGTTAACTATTTAAACCCTCAGATACATTTTACTACTGTATCATCTTTTCGATGGCTTTATTGTATGACCATACGACAGATGAACAGACCGCCACTGGGCTTGCAACTAAAGACACAGCTATGCAAAAAACGCAGCATGTGTACAGCTCATGGTACAGCTATGTGTACTGCAATTACACATAAGGAGCCGGAGCGGCGTTCCGGTGCGTTCCGTTGCGTTCCGGTGCGTTCCGGAATTTTACTCTTTCTTAAACGTAATTTTTCTCAGCCACTGGTTTCTCAGTGCCTCTTCTTTCATACCATTTCTTCCTTTCCATCTTTAGAAATGTAACTGCATTGCTGATACGATTGGTGTAATCTGTTCATTAAATTAACAATGCACTCAGTGTGACTGTGTATTTCCTTCCGCTGCGTCTCAGCAGGCTCCAGGTATCATTGATTATCACCCGTGTGTGTGTGTGTGTGTGTGACTGGTTAATTTACAGCATAAGCCTGAAATCACTGTAGCATGTACGTGTGCGTTTCAGCTGATAGTCCCATTTATGTGTTAAGACTCAACATTGCGAGCGCTCACCCCTCTGAAAGAGCAAGATAAGACCCGAGCCGAGAGTCATGGATATAGAGTCACTTTTTATGATGTGGCCAACAAGCCATTAAAATCAGAGCGGTAAACAATGTTTAAAGGACGCCCTGAGAGCGTGCTACAAACCCTTAGCACATTACACTGAAATTAGATATTTGTTCTTGCTCCAGCACACACTCCATTTCATACACAGACCCGAGGTGCTCACTGTTGTTTGTTGCCCTATCCGTCTCCTTTCTTATCAGTTTCCCTCTTTCTAATTCTTTTCGCTCCTCCAGGTGCAGATCAAAGATGGTTATATGAGAATGTATTAAGAAGCGGTGACAGACTTTGGGGAGATTAAAGAAGGACCGATGAGGGGCGGGAGCAGACAGACAGCATATCTTCACACAGATAGAGGCTCAGTGAGTTGCAGAAATGGCTGATGAAATATATAACAACGAAGAACACTCTGCTGGGAAAACACAATGTCATGTCTAATCAGGCTGATTGGCAATTTGGAAGCTCCAGATTTCCGAGGCTTAGTTTGTGGCGGCGGCAGCTGAGCCAGAGAGCATCACAAACGGCTACTGTGTCTGCTGCCAAAAAGGTTCCCATGGCAACCACTTATTCACAATGTAATCTAATTAGGCAAATGGACAGGAGTAGTTAACACCTGAACATTGTGAACCTAACTTGTATTGTCTTCTCCCTGTCTTTGTCTGTTTTGTGTTTTCTAAGCATTGGTTGCCAGTCTGACTCTCCAGTGCTCCTCTGGACTGGATGTGATAATGGGGCACCGTCTGCCATTTGTAATCCTCCCGTTGACTCCCCTCTCTGGGTAATGTATTGAAATCACAGTCACAAATGTGTCGGGCATGCCCACACAAGACACGAGAATTGAATAGCTGGAATACTGATGCTAACTAATCCTGCTGACAGTACGCCTACTTTCTCATGCCGAGGAATCTTCTTTCCCTTCTTGTCTCTCTTAAAGGCCTTTTCATTACAACTCTACAACCATTACACATGAGGCGAGCAGAAATAATGCAGATGCAAAAACGAGTGATCAATTTAATCCAGAGCTTGGTTCTAGCGAGAACCCATGGTTGTAGCATGGTGCAGCGTTAGGGTGTTGACATGTTGAGAAGCAGTCAGTTTTAATTGCATTAATGATCAGTTAAATAAGTACTATTTTTATATTTTAAAATATATATCATTGACATAAACTGGGGCTTTACATCACAGTAGACTCCAATTTGTGTGTGCGTATCATTGTTTGACGGCAGGTGTTTTTGCCTTGTTGTTGTGCGTAAGTAAATGTCAGGACATGCCTGATATTTTCTCTCACTCCAGATTGCACTAGTCAGTCACTGGTGGGCGGAGAGCAAAATCAACAACCGTATGAGTGTGTGTGTGTTTGTGCGCTCAAATTCCTTTGCCTGCATATACCAACATCGCACAATAAAGGACTTATTCATGGGAACACATTTTTAAAAGATCTTAAAAAGGGTTTGTTGGATTTTCTTTTAATATGGACAATAAGTAACGACAATGCTGAGCTTAACCTAACCCCTTGCAGGGAAATTTTAATAGGAACGTTTCAGTATATGTAATCATAAGAACTGTTTTTGAGCTGTAGTGGTGTAGTCGGTTGATATTGGAATATATTAAAGCTCATGAACCTTCGTATTATTTCTATAAAGACAGGTTGAATAATGGATTGCGTACTGTAGAGCTACAAAAGCGAATGGAACAAAGACTTACGTTGAGGCTTCAACTCTCTACAACTTTCTTTTGACTTGTCACTCATTGGTCCGGGCTCTGCTCTGGGCGGTGAGGTGGAGCACCGTGAGCATGCAGATCTGATCTGAGAGCAGCAGATGTCTCTCACCATGGGGCGATCAGGGCTCTCTGGGACACGGGCCAGAGTCACCCACACACACACACCTACACCTCCTTACACTCAGCATGGAGCACAGCATGTGCAGATGCCTAACAGGTTAACCATCCAGGACTGGCAGATAGACAGGTCAATGAGCGGTCGCCATGGAAACAAGTCCATGTTCCAATATACACGACGGATAAATATAAATTAGTATTTGCACAGCTCTGCTTCTGTATGTTGAAATAAGATACATACAGTATAGCCTCACAATTCATTAATATGTCTTTAAAAAAGTTTCCTCATCATTACTTTATCCAGCCACATGCAAAGTTTACTTGGAATATTACTTTTTAATGAATTATTTATTTCACACACAACACTTCCCATCTCACCCACAGAGCTCTGACTCGCTGGGAACTGGAGTGATGGCAACAATAGAGACTGTCAGCTCTACTTCTGAATCGCAGCATGTACTCTGAATATGCAGAAAAGACTCCTACTGAGTTGCTGTGACATGGTCAAATTGGAATTTTTAATGGACCAAGTATATAAGTGGAACTGAAATGGACAGCATATTTCTACAAAATATTTCTTGAATGTAAAAAAAGCTGATAAAATAGAAGATATGAGACTGACATTACACAAAAGAAATGTGATAATAATAACCAAACTTCGTGAAATATTAATCAAAT